GGAGAGTTTTTCTTGACTTAATCAGCTGATTGGCTTTGTGTTTGTTTTTCTTCTCACGTAAGAGACTGTGTGTGTGTGTGTGTGTGTGTGTGTGTGTGTGTGTGCCTCGACAGTTGTACCTGTAAAACTGACTCACTCTTCCCGACCCTTGTATCTCTCTCTCTCTCTCTCTCTCTCTCTTCTTACTTCATTCTACGAGATTTCTCTTTTTCTATATTTTATCCATTCTATTGTGCTTACTTCATTCTTCCCTTCACAATACCACCATCCCGTCATGCTTTCATATCATCATACAGTTTTCACCTCATTTTATTCATTATGTCTTCATCGAATCATGCGGACATCTCATCATGTTTCTCATCATTTTCCATTTAACATTATATTTATATTTATTCATATCATAATACGTCCATGTCATCATATCTTCATGTCATCATACATCCATGTCATCATACCTCCATATCATCATGTCATCATACCTTCATATCATACCTTCATGTAATCATACCCCACGTCATCATACCTTCATGTCATCATACCTTCATGTAATCATACCCTCACGTCATCATACCTTCATGTCATCATACCTTAATGTCATCTTATCTTCATGTCATATCTTGATGCCATCATACATTCACGTCATCATACCTTCATGTCATACCTTCATAACATCATACCTTCATGTCATCATACTTTCATGTCATCATTCCTTCATGTCATCATACCTTCATGTCATCATTCCTTCATGTCATCATAACTTCATGTCATACCTTCATAACATCATACCTTCATGCCATCGTACTTTCATGTCATCATTCCTTCATGTCATCATATCTTCATGTCATCATACCTCCATGCTATCATACCTTCGTGTCATCATACTTTCATGTCATCATTCCTTCATGTCACCATACTTTCATGTCATCATTCCTTCATGTCATCATACCTTCATGTCATACCTTCATAACATCATACCTTCATGTCATCATACTTTCATGTCATCATACCTTCATGTCATCATACTTTCGTCATCATACCTTCATGTCATCATACCTTCATGTCATCATTCCTTCATGTCATCATAACTTCATGTCATACCTTCATAACATCATACCTTCATGCCATCATACTTTCATGTCATCATTCCTTCATGTCATCATATCTTCATGTCATCATACCTCCATGCTATCATACCTTCGTGTCATCATACTTTCATGTCATCATTCCTTCATGTCACCATACTTTCATGTCATCATTCCTTCATGTCATCATACCTTCATGTCATACATTCATAACATCATACCTTCATGTCATCATACTTTCATGTCATCATACCTTCATGTCATCATACTTTCGTCATCATACCTTCATGTCATCATACCTTCATGTCATCATACCTCCATGCTATCATACCTTCGTGTCATCATAATTTTGTTATTGTTGCTTTATGTTTCCTTATTTTCACGTCATTATATCATCATATCACCCCACACCCCAGCCAGTCACTCACTCTCCCTCCACACCACCCCGTCACTCACTCTCCCTCCACACTACCCCGTCACTCACTCTCCCTCCACACCAGCCCGTCACTCACTCCTCCACACCACCTCGTCGCCCACTCCTCCACACCACCTCGTCACCCACTTTCTCTCCACACTACCGTCACTCACTCTCCTTCCACACCTGACCGTCACTCACTGTCTACCACGCACCTTGTTGTGCCCATCTTCTCCCTCTTCCAATCTCTGGTAATTAATCCTCCATCTCCTCTATTGGCGTCACCTGCCTCTCACCACCCATGTTACCTCCACCTCTTCCTTGTCTGTCCCCCACCTTATTATCTCGTCCTCCTTCACACCTCTTATTTATCCATGTTTATTCTTTATTTATTTCATTTACCTTCTTTTCGTAGGTTATCCCTCTGCCACCATTCTGTATTTGTAATTCTCGACTTTAAACCTATATCTGCATTTAATTTTTGTTTTCGTCATTCTATATACAATCCCTTTGCTCTTAATTAATTCTTTAACGTGGAGTGATATAACCTCACAAAGGTTTTATAACAATTAGATAAGGTTTTACGAAACATTACGGTCGTACTTTTTTAATGTTCAAAATTAACCATGGCACACAGCATACTGTTCCCTTTACTCTACAAAATGGTAAAAATGGAAAATTATTGCGACATTGTAAAAACTAGACTGGACTGGACAGCCACCAATAATTGTTACGGGTATCGACAGGTGGGTTTGGGAAAGTATCCACTACCGGCAGTGTTGGCGCCACACGCACACGTAACACAAGAGTTGGTGTGATGCTGCATGAACGTGTTTATCATCAGTACTTCCTACTAGTCTGGTTTACAAAGTATGTTTACATATTTCTAGCCTTTTTTTTCGTTGGGTGAGACATACGAGTAAATTTATTATAAGGAAATGGTCGTCGAGGGTTCTGTAGAAATGTTTAAGTGGGATAGCCAAAAGAATGACAGCCACAAGCTGCATCTGTTATATCAGTTATACTAACTCAAGTTGTAACTAATTCTTTGCACGGTCGGTCGTATTGGTTGATGATTGATTTTTGTCGTGAGTTTTAACCGGAAGTCTAATAGAATCCAATATATTATGAAATCCCATATTTTTCTTTCCAATGGATACTTAAATTTATCGCCCAAACTTGGAATGCCAATGCAGCAATAATCATTTGTTCGATATTACCTCGCTTAAGTTGCCAATACTTTGTGAGAAGCCGCTTACCAAAAAAGATTTCTCAGTGAGTGAGACAATCATTGGAACTTATGAAGTTGGTTGACACATTATATCTGGACACAATTTACACACAAGGTGGAATGATATACGGAAACAATACTTCGTAGCACACAAGACAACAATGAGAAAAAACTCTTGAGTGTGAAGTGGAATTATTTACAATTTACTTACATGTAGCAAGCCTCGCTCTCAGGGGCCCCGGGGAAGAGTGTAAGATTTTATTATTATTATTATTATTATTATTATTATTATTATTATTATTATTAATCTGCGTCTTCCTTGAGTTGCACCGACTCCAGTATATAGCAACTAATTTGTCTCTTGATTCTTTTATATGAACGAACTGCCTTTTTTGTAAACTTAATTATCCATTCTCCTAAAATATGAAGAATAAGAAGCTCTTGTACCAGATAACATGGTATTAATGAAGTGAATAACCAACTCAAGATGAGGATACAATATAACTGGTACGTGTGTAAACGACTGAATGAACTGCGACTCAGTTACTTAGTCCCTGTACAAAACTTCACGGACATTCTGTATACTATACCAACCAATTATTCGCTCGATTTCAGTTGTTATGTACAGTTTTACCCGTGTTAGTTCGGTGACATAAGTTGATTGTTGGGAATTAGGTGAACATAACGTTAAAGGATACGAGAACGAGGATTATTATTTAGCTTGTAACCTATTCTGCCAATCCTGAGTAATATTAATGTTGGCAATATATATGTAATTGTTTTTAACCACCCTCTGAAGTTCTTTTGTACAACCAACCCATATTATCTCCTAGTCATGCCCCCACACCATCTCCTAGTTATGCCACTGACATCATCTCCTAGCCATGCCCCTACACCATCCCCGAGTCATGCCACCCACACCATCCCCTAGCTATGCCACCCACACCATCTAGCTATGTCACCCATCTACTTATCCAGTAATATTTGCTGATAACTATGGTCATGTTGCCATTAATCTACTATTCTGTCATCAAAGCCTTCCACCCAGTCACTTCTCCATCTCCCCCTCCGCCACTCTGCTCTATCCTACCGCTTCTTCTGCTCCTTCACATCCCTCCCCATCCCTTTCTTTCCCTTCCTTTCACTTTGTTGCCACATTGTCAACCAGACCTTTTCCTCTACCACCACTGTACCCTGCCACCTCTCCTCCTCCTCCTCCTCTACCACCACTACAACCACTCTTCCTCTACCACCACTACTACCTACTACCACTTTTCCTCTATCACCATTCTCCTCTGCCACTTTTCTTTCCTGACACACCCCCTCTTCCCTGCCAATGTGCCAACCCTCTCCCCTCTCTCCCCCGTTCTATCTCCCGCTGAACCATCCAGTGATCCACGTAACGACATTATCCCGTCGTCCACAGAGCGTGGCTGTGTTTATTTGCTCAGTGCGGGAGCCAAAATATTATTTCAACATTATCGTCAACATTAACACAAGCTGCAACACGGTGGGCCAGCGCCATATTGGTACCCGCCGTATTTAAATAAGCCAAAGTGAAACAAAAGTATACAGCGTTATAAACTAGTAAAAAAAAAATTGTTTGGACGTTCAGCCTGAAAAAAAATATAAATCACCCAGAATAGGTTTTCTCTCCAGTCGATTTATTGCTAAAGTTTTTGAAAACAACGATTGAAAACAAATTTAAATGCTCTCAAATTTCCTTTCTCTGTTTGACTATTATGCTTTTACTTCCTATGCTGGGGACACAAGTATGAATACTAAAATAGAACGCTAACTTATTTTTAGGCGTGGAAAGGGAGAACCGACAAATATATATATGTATGTATTTTGCCGAGCCCTCTCTCCATAACACAGTGCATTACCCCACCCACTGTACTGCCAACCAAAACACGATACATTTACACCACACACAATGCTGCCAACTAGACCACTGTCCAATGAATAGAACACAAACTCGCGAAAGAGAAGGATGATGATGATAACGATAAAAACACCGAATGAATTAAATAGCCGTAATCATTAACGCCAAAAACTACTGGAAAATTATCTTAAATCATCAAACTTTTATGTATGTTCTATATGATGTTTGATTTAAATATACAACTCGTTCAAAAACTTTTAAATAATCCTGTAAAATTTCACCCAAAATTTCAAGAAGACGATTTAGTCTACTTCTTCGTAGTTGGTATATTAAGTTTTAAGTTATAAAAGGCCAATGGCAATATGCTAATGATTTTCTGTCCTTCAGGGAACATCGATCTCAGGACCAAAGGATTTGTTCAGCTTGCTCCAAACAACAATGAAGCCTAGAGTCTCCAACAACCACATTTTAAAAGGCTCTCAACCCAAGTAAAAACAAAACAAAAACATTACAAACATTTCGAAATACCAGACAAAAACATTTTAAAGGACAGAACCAGGACGGTAAACACGAAGAATAATTTAACTGAGAATCTGAATCTGTTAGAAATGTAAAAAAAAAATGACTGAAGGAATTTACACAGTAACCAAGACACACATTCCTTTGAGCCGCCTCAGACACGCCAACTAAGATTCTCCCTATTTGGCCGCCTCCCACCCCTACACGCCACGCCCACGCACCTGACAAGATGAATGGGCGTGGAAGGACATGATCGATGTTGTCTCATCAGAATTCGCCATAGAAAATTATGCTCAGGTAAATAATGATTATTCAGTCACTATGGAATAAGATGGAAAAATGTTTTAACATCCTTATGGTATCCTAAAGAACTGTGAGTGTGTGTGTGTGCGTGAGTGTGTGTGTGCGTGTTCTTGGCTGTTTTGGAGCTGATGCACGATGTAGCGACTGTTGTCTGTAGTAGCGATTTATAATAGTTCTTGATCATAATATTTAACTCGTAACATGTTCTTTTCTTTTAATTTACTTACAGCTGCTGGTGGCGATTTTTATTTTTGTTTTAAGTATTTTCTTCATGCACGATGTGGGGGGTACAAAGTTTAATCGTCCTGTTGCACATTACTGACGGGCACTGAGCGTCGTGTTTGTATCGTTAACGTAAATGTACTGTGTGCATGTTCGAGTTAGGCGTGGTGACATCAGTGTTGTGGGGCGGAAGGTGGTGGCTGGGAATGACTGAGGCTCATGCAACGAGAGTGTGTGTGTGTGTGTGTGTGTGTGTGTGTTTGCCTCTCGCTCACTGCCCTCTAGGACACACATGTATTATTTGTAAAACTCTTGGAATATCAGGGAACAAGAACAAAATGTTTGTAAGTGATGATTTATGTATCTGATTGTATAATTGTGTAATCAATCTAAATGATAAGTGATGGGTGTTCATGGAGATATATCCTTATATGAAGAAAATTAGCTTCTTAAACGGATGTACTAAAAATAGGTGAGTAATATTATCGCCACACCTGTGAAATTTGGGATAGAAATTGTGTATATAAATATTAAGTTTCTCAGCAGCAGCACTTTGTATAAGCCTGTAAACAGCGAGGCATAAGCCTGCACTAAGTACAACGACTTTTGTTGCTTCACTTTGTATATACGAGTTCCGCATATCATCAGCATGCATCACGGCCTGGGTGTGGGGAAGAAAATACTGTATCTTGTGAGCATATTGCAGCATTAAATCAAGGCGTTATGCGGGATTCTTTGTTGCTTTATCTGTTAAACTCTCTACCGAGACGTTAAAATTTTTCACAAAAACAGCATGCTTAGTTACCCATGACTAAAGAGGCTCACCCGCGTACAGGCAAACACTCGCGCTAGCCTACGTGAGTTAACGCGATAACGCAGGTATTAAAACACATGTCTGTGCTAACTTCTGTGAATAACGAGACTATCATAAGTAAAGGTTGCTGCTCTAAAACACCAATCCAAACACCAATACCAACCCCCCCCCCTCACACACACACACACACTCTCTTAAACACTCAACGAACACAAACATTGGATATATTAACTGAGCTCTTGAAGGACCTGATCATATTGAACACACAACTAGTAAGGAACCGAGGAACAACGTTGATTACTCATCTAGGTAAACAGTCGAGATTCTCAGGTGAGAATTAAGTCCCGCTAGCCAGTTTATGTTGTATATAAAGTTGCAGTTGGAGTATATAGCTCTGTTTGGTACCCAAGTTCATACGAAAACAAAATTAGATAAAAATCACAGAAGCTCATATGAAGAATTATTTTTGGTCATGACAAAAGTTACTCGAATTCTTTTCAAACCCTAAACTTACAGTCACTTTACACGAGTTGGAAAATTCTGTAATTTTGCGTATGTAGAACAGTGGTATCTAAGCCTAGTGCCATGCAATACTAACTGCCCATCGCAAATCCCACCCATAGCTGCAATCCGAGTCACTCATGACTGCCAATCCCGCGAGGTTATGGGATTAACTACTACATGAGGTCAATAATACCTTATATACCATAACTACTTAACGATGAAATGTAACACCTGGGTCGATTATCCCTGACCATAATATTATCATGTGATTGTTTAGAATATGACACTATCATATGTTGACATATTTCTTCTAATGGCTCACTTGTTGTCTAATTCTTGACCCCAGTGTCATAGTAGTAAATGTTTTAGCAACAACTTAGATACAAATTTTGTGGAGTTTGACCAATTTACTGTTAAAATCAGTATTTCTAGTTTCTTTCTTTACCACATGACGCAATATAACGAATTACAGAAGGTTTTATTTGATGAGCCATTTTTCAAAGTTTAACCCGGCGCCTTGTCATGTTCAATATGAGACCTAGATATATGCAGTATGTACTATGGTAGGGTAGGGGGTGTACAGTAGTTAGAGATTGGCCATCGTCGCATCAGGGCCGGGTGGCGGTGAAAAAGATCTGAAACATCCAACTTTTACGGCATTTTTGTTGTTATGGTGTATTGAGTTATTTGCAGTACAGTGTTAGTGCATGCTGTGCCTTCCTCATAATTAAACTAGAACAATTTATTTGTGATGAGAAAATATAATTGCAGACTTAATAACCACACCCTCTAGAATGCAACGCTGCACCTACCCCACCCTCCCATTCATCGTTTCCCTCCTTGCTGTCTGCTGAATTCTTTTTGTCCGCAACTGTACATAATTTTCATAAATAAAAGATAAATTATTATTACTGAACACACACACACACACACACACACACACACACACACACACACACACACACACACACACGAAAACCACAGCTTCCACGCTAGACTTGATCCTTAGTCATGTGACGGACATATACGATGACGTCATTGTGCAGCCACCATTAGTAAGTGAGCCGCCATGGGGTGTCATGTTTTTACCTCAGTAATAACGCTCCGCCACACCAAGTTTGACAAAATTTAGGCTCGTCGACACATTTCGTCCAATAGATAGCGGACGAACCATAAGATAAAATTTATTCTGAATTGACAACACTATCACCTAATGGGTCTTGCCTATTCCCCCTCCCGGAGCGAACTCCTACTCGGATTACGCCCCTTGTGACTTTTACAAAGTATATTCTTTGTATTAGTAAATGTTCATCTTTGCGGACATAGTTAAACATACATAAGTATAGGTCAAAATGTATAAATAAACAGCAAGTGTATTTATTGTTTGGATTCCTTATTAATCCTTACTATTAAAGTGAAGTAGCATTACATTAATATTTACATATTTACACCCCCCGCCCCCCCAAACAACAGATAGCATTACATGCATGTTGTTACTCGAAATATGTATTTACATTATACCATGAATGCTGTTAATTACAAAACAGTATTGTGTTCATAGTTCATTAAAATAATACGTTCGGCTTACATGTTAAAATTATGTAATTTAAGAGTTCCATTTTGGTTTTCTTTACATGTCTCTTTTTAAGACCAATGAGATGTTTCATTTTATCAGGGTCGCTATTACACAATCAAAATTACCTAGTGAAAACTGTGCACTTTTTTTTAGGTTTTTTAATTTTCATATAAAAATAATAAATATTATATGGATACAATTATCTTTGAACACTATGCATTGCCTTTACAGATACTTTATTTTTTTCAACTTCTACCAATGTTTTGCAATTATTTGTATACATGTTATGCCGTGAGTAAATATTTCGTGTAATAACATGCAAGTAATTTTACCTTCATTCTTTGTAAAAAATGTAAATACACTATTAATTTAATGTTACTTCCCAGTAATAACATAATTATGCTAGAAATGTGTGCACTGAAACATACTACGTATCGCTTATTTGTCTGTGTTTATCCATAATTATGTCTCCAGAGAAATACATATTACTAAAACAAACCATGCCACTGAGTGTGTGTGTGTGTGTGTGTGTGTGTGTGTGTGTGTGTGTGTGTGTGTGTGTGTGTGTGTGTGTGTGTGTGTGTGTGTGTGTGTGTGTGTGTGTGTGTGTGTGTGTGTGTGTGAGTGTTTTAGCCAGATACACAATATAATTTGTCAGACAATAAAAGCCTCTCTGATACATCACCACCACGTGCGTTCTACGACCAAAAAACATGTGTGAAGTTTGATGATAAACCACGGATTACTGAGCGTCTCAAGATGATGATGAAACAAAGACCGTGAGCTTACAAGAGAGGCAACACAGGACAGGTAACGGGACCTTTACGTTGAGATCACGGACAGATACGTCACGACAAATAGCAGGTTGCCCGGGAAACACAACCTTCAAGGGTACGAAGCAAGCAGTGTGCACCCGTTTATTATATCGTCGTTGAAAAGATACACCTGGAGAGTGTCATTCGTGAGCTGCGAAGATAACTATGACGCAGCGTTCGCCACAAGATCCTGTTTCACTGTTAACTTTTCAGCCCTCCCTTACACCCCCCAGACTGAGAGAATACAGATTAATCATTAACTGAAGGAAATTTAAGTTGACAAATTATCATCACCTGATTTAATAGCCTCCGGTATTTCCCAAATGTATAGGAAAAAAATACCACAATATTTTGCAGACACCTAAAGAAATGACTTGTACTTTAGGTATGATAGAGCAGTATTGGCCAACCTCTAACACTGACACCTACTACCATTCAGCACAAACTCCAGTGGTTATGTAACAAATCCACTGGTCAAGTTAAGATTCATGGACGAACAGCTACAGCAACTCAACGTCGACCCTTTATAATAAAACTTCCCTTTCATGAACTGTAGTGATTAGGGTCATGTTATGCTTTGTCAACATCGTCTTATTGTCTAGATATTCAACCGGTTGCCTTTATGACTTACACCGCCCTCACTTGTAATGGATGCGAGGCTGCAGTGTCTTATGTTATAATAGAGGTCTAGAACTGAGGCCCCTATTACATTGTATTCTATATTGTCGTGTAGCACATTGTGGTTTGAGATACAATATTGTGTCCAAACCTCAGCAATACACGTTATTATTATTATTATTATTATTATTGTCAGGGAAGGAAGGAAGGAGGGAGGGAGGAGCACTTCATTCACTTCATGTTCGCATTTCGCCAGTGTCACATCCATGAAAAATAAATGTTAACAAACACCCACAAATTATGAAATGTAGCACACGTACAGTGGATCTGCCTGGGAAACAAGGTCTAGTTCACATCACAAGATTGCTCGACATAACCAGTAATTTTCTTCTTTCAACTACAGCAGTGGTTCTCAACCTTGTTTGCCCCATGCACCCCTTTCACC